GTTTGCATATAACTAGGTGAACATTCAATTTTCTTTGTAAATTAAAATTCCCCAGGGATCTGCTTTAATGTCTGTTTGGGAAAATTGAAGCAGCTATATTTCATATCCTATGTCACTGTCTATGCCACGGGTGTCAAACTCGATCACGTCACGTGATGTATCGTGATGTATCGCAATGTTTTTTGCCTTTGCAGAGGTGGGGTGGGTGTGGCCTGCGTGTGACGCATCCGGCCTACAGGCTGCCAATTTGACACCCTGGTCTATGCTCTGGCCATAGTCCTGTTATTACAGAGGCTGTAAATCCTTAAGTGTGGAGGAGAAGTGAGGACACATGGCTACTATCTCCCAGCATTGACAGGCAGGTCTGACAAGAAAGAGAATCTGAATTTGGCCAAACATATTATGCTCCTCCCTATAATTCTGCACAATTGGTATTCCTGACTATGTTGTTAACTGAATACTCTTATACATTTCTGCACTGACATGGTAATATCTGGAAGGGCCTCATCTTCTCTCCAAACTTGGAATGTTATAATTATACAAATACATATATTTTCCCCTGCACAGCCTATGATGCTTAACACAATGGTACATTTGAATACTGTACTGTTGGAATCATTAGCATTATTATTGATAATATGTCTCTGAAATGTTGCAAAGAACATATGTCAGTCTCCCTTCTTTTAACAGAATAATAGAGTTGGAAGGAACCTTGGAGGTCTTCTAGTCCAACCCCTGCTCAAGCAAGAGGCCTATATATTCTGGACAAATAACTGTCCAATCTCTTTTTTAAAACCTCCAGCAATAGAGCACTTTCAACTTCAAGCCATTTTACTTACTAATTGTTCACACTGACAGGAAATGTTTCCTTCGTTCTACAGTAGGTTGGATCTCTCCTTGATACGTTTATAAAGAGATTATAAGGAGAATTCTGGGGTTGCGATCTCTGCCACATCTTGATATTATCACCTGCACTTTCCTAGCAAAAGACTGAGGAGTCCTTGGTTCTCTCTGTGCTTGCTTGTTTTCCTGCAGATGTTTCATTACCCAAACTAGTAACGTCATCAAAGATTGGTCTAAATATTCTAGATTAGAACCTTAGTTTAGATTATTTGTTCTAGTATTATTTGAATAATGTATAAATACTTTTAATGACAAAACATGGATCCTTGTTCAAATTACTAGGCAATGATTAAGATATCAATCAGAATAGAGCTGGAAGGGACCTTAGAGATCTTCCAGTCCAACCCATTGCTCAAGCAGGAGACCCTATACCATTTCAGATAGGTGGGTATTCAATCTTTTCTTAAAAACTTCTAGTGATGAAGCACTTACAACTTCTGAAGGCAAGCTGTTCCACTGGTTAATTGTATTCACTGTTAGGAAGTTTCTCCTTAATTCCAGGTTGCTTCTCTCTTTGATTACTTTCCATCCATTGTTTTTGTCTTGCCTTCTGGTGCTTTGGAAAATAAGTTGACCCCCTCTTCTTTGTGATAGCCCCTCAAATATTGAGATATTCCTGTCATGTCACCTCTAGTCCTTCTTTTCTCTAGACTAACCATACCCAATTCCTGCAATCGTTCTTCATAAGTTTTTGTCTCTAGGCCCTTAATCATCTTAATTGTTCTTCTTTGCACTTTTTGCAAAGTTTCAACATCTTTTTTGTAATGTGGTGACAAAACTGGATGCAGGATTCCAGATGTGGTCGTACTAAGGTTTTATAAAGCATTACTAATACTTCACATGATCTTGACTCTATGCCTTTGTTTATGAAATCAAGGATTGTATTAGCTTTTTGGTTGCTGCTGCACACTGCTGGCTCACATTTAAGTGATAGTCCACTAGGACTCCAAGGTCTCTCTCACAGTGACTGTTTTTAAACCAGGTTTCGCCTCATCTGTACTTATACCTTTGGTTTTTCCTACCTAGGTGTAAAATCTTGCTTTTCTCCACATTAAATTTCATGTTGTTGGATAGGGCCCATTGTTCAAGTCTGTCAAGATCTTGTGGGATCCTGAGCTTGTCTTCTGGGGTGTTGGCTATTCCTGCCAGCTTAGTGTCATCTGCAAATTTGATAAGTTCCCCTTCTATTCCCTCAACTAAGTTATTAACAAACTCATCTAAGATTATCTTAGAACTGCCTTGGAGCATGTCATGGACTAGGCCTAACTTGGCCTTTATTCCTAATCAGGGTCTACCAATACTGCAATAGTGTCAAACAGACCTTTTCAAAAGCTATTGCTAGTAGTAAGCTTTGAATCATATAACTCTTCACCCTCCAGAAATGCAATGCAGGTCTACGAAAGCCAACTGCAATTCTAAATAAATCTATTTTCATTGAATCATCTATATACTTCCTCCATGTTACCCTTATTATCTTAATTACCCACAAAGTATTTGGTTAGTAACTTATGTTTAAAATATATGGTCACATTCACACCAGGAACAAGAAAAAGAAACAAATCCAGGACTTAGGGTACAACACGTAAAAAAAGGGAAGAATAACCACTGCACAGAACTCAATGCCTTAACCATTTAGTATGAACTTTGACCTTCCAGTGATCACTCTTTAGTACTTAAGTCTTCATAAATTTCCATCCTTTATGGAGTGTTTTTGATGGTAGACAATTCTTTGCTGAAAGTTAAGTGCTCTTTTATATGATCATATAAAGCAGGCTTTGGGTACATTACACTGACAAATGTTTATTGGAAAGCCAATTACAGCTTCATAAATCAAGGCCCTCTGTCACAGATCGGGTAAACTCACAAATACCACCAGATGTCACAATTGAGCCCAGCAGGGTAATTCAAATAACACTATGGAATCCTGTCCCTCATCCATAGCATTGACAGTAGTCAAAACAGGAAGAAATAGTTTATTATCTTTCATTTAACTTATTAAAATACTTGTTGCAGGATGTCATGGCCAACCTGGAGTTGGGGCGGGGATACATTTGTTTTCAATTTGCAGATAGATTAAAATGACAAGGTCAAGCACAATCCACTGACAGATTGGCAGCTAAATTTTAAGGTGGACATAGTTAAGGTGCACATACAGCTGAGTAAAAACTCTGAAATCTTTTACCATTTTAATTTTGCAAAGGGCAACTTATATTTGAAATACTTCTGTTAATGATATGCATGTTCATGCTACTATTTAAGTAGATTGATATTAATTAAAAATGATCAGTAAATATTAAAATGTCTTTTTTCAATACCTAAGCAGTACAACTTTGGATTTATTGTTTGTTTGCAAGAAATGCTTGTAAATTTACAGCTCTGTACTGTATTTATCTATTCGTTGTTCTAATAAATGAGCCCTCATGTGGTGAAATCAAGAAATTACATGGCGGAAAGCCTATCTTTGAGTTGGCTGGACTAAACCACAGATAGATTTTTAAAATAATGATTCTCAGGAATCTTCCATCCTGATGAGCATAAGAGAAAACTTTGTTCCTTTCACCAAATTCATTTTCTGATAATCATAAAACAGGCAATGGGGGGAGAGAGAAAATTCCTGCATCATTACTGAATAATAGTTTGTTAAATAAATAACAGTGGGCTTGGTTCACCTACAATAATTTGTAAATCATACAATATTTTTATTATATATTTTATTTTATTCAAAACAAGGTCAAGATACAAAACTCTAAAAAAAATCCAAGACAAAACCCCCCCACAAAACACAAAACAATCAAGACTTTAAAAAAGGTGCATCAAAAAGCCCCATATATTCACATATTATTCCCTCTAATTGAATACTGATTAATACAATATTACAACATTAGTTCACTATTAGTTCCCATCTCTTGTAAAACATTTATATTTTGTAAATCATATAATATAGTAGGTTTTTGACACATGGTAGGCAAAACTAAACAAATGCTATTATGGCTTTAACATTGAATAACATGCAAAACAACTTCTTGAGTTCCCAGACGAAGTCATAGATCAATCTTTTGCAACCATTTTGTTTTCATTCAGGACCTCTTCCCACTTTTAAAAATTATGGAAGACCCAAAAGGGCTTTTGTTTGTATTTATTTATATTTATTGTATTAAAATTAAAATTGATGCATAAGTTAACACTACCATTTGTTACATTTGTTGATGTGATTTTAAAATTGTATTATTTTTCAACATAAGCAGGCAAATAATGATTTTGTGGTCTCTGAAAGGATCTTGGGGACATTCAAGAGTCCTAGGTCCATACTTTAGTCCTCGACTTAGTCTTCAACTTACTAACACAATTAGTCCCAAATTTCTGTTGCTAAGTGAGACAGTTGTTAAATGAATTTTGGCCCATTTTATGACCTTTCTTTTCACAGTTGTTAAGTGAATCACTGCAGATGATAACTTAGTAACACAGTTGTTAAATGAATCTGGCTTCCCCATTGACTTTGCTTGTCAGAAGGTTGCAAAAGGTGATCACATGACCCTGTGATCCTAAACAACCATATTTATGCAACCATCATCAATATGACTTTGTTGCCAAGCATCTAAATTTTGATCATGTGACCATGGGGATGTGGCAATCATTGTGTTAAAAACGGTCATGTCACTTTTTTCAGTGTTGTTTTAATTTTGAATGGTCACTAAATGAACTGTTGTAAGTCAAGAACTACCTGTACTCATTCTTTCAATCTTCACATTAAAAGGCAAAGATTACTAGTGACAGTATTGAGAGGACTATGTATCGTCTTCCCATTATTTATTAATTAGATTTATATTTTGCTTGGCTCAAAGTAGCATGCATAATACCCCCTTCTTTTATTTTCTCCACAACAAGTCTGTGAGGAGGGTTGTCAGCTGAAAGTGAGAAAAAAGATCTGATGAAAATAAGTTAATGAAAAACACACTGATCTTACCTGAATGTCAAGGAGCAAAATAGGTTTGAATGTCTGGAAAAATCAGACTTTTAAACATTGTTCCAAAGTTTCCAAAACTACATATTGCCATCTAACAATCATACAGATTTTTTCAGACCAAATCTAGCATCCTTTATTCTATCAGGAATTTACTAAATCTGCAGGGTTCTTTTCTTTCTACTCCTGGTCCATCAACTTCATCTTGTGTGCAATAAATACTAGGATGAAAAAGGGTATAATATATAATAAGAGAAATAATACCTAATATTAGGAAGATTACAGCTGCAACAATCCATGCTGGCAAATATATTTTTTCATCAAGTAATGATTTCCAGTACCCACATATGCACAGTATAATTACACTTACAATTATTCGAAAAACATAATAAACAATCTGGACAATTGCTGTGTTTTCTCCCTTGATATTAAAAAAGGTAAAAATGAGAATGATTGCCACAATCATTCTGTAAACATATTCTGTTGCTTTAAATTTACAAAATTCAGTGTTTTGCTTTGTCACCCAGCTTAGATTCCCAAACCAAAGAAAAATTAGCAGAACAATAGAACCTGTAATGTTCAACATTGTGAGTAAAATAATGGTAAGTATCCAAGAAGTTAATGTCATCAGTTTATAGACAAGATATATAAGTTTGCAAAATACCCCACTAAATTCATTTTTATCAGGCAGAGATTTTCGCAAAACTATCTGATAGTTCACTGTTGCACAGGAAATGCTGCAGAAAGACAAAGCGATGGAAACATCTTTAAAAGAAAACAAAAATATTGACGGTTAGTTCAGGCCAAAAAAGTTGCCAATTTATTTTAAAACACTTTTTTAAAAAAAGGTGGATAACACTGGAACACGAACTACTTAGTCTATTCTAAAAGCTCTACTAATCAACTTACACTAATGAAATGGCTTCCGAAGGGAAGAGATTTTCAGCCATAGTTCATGTTGCCTTGATCTGAGGACTGACATTTATGATTATTAAAATTTATTGGCAACCTTCTGGGGTGACAATAGTCCCAAAGTGGTTTATAACCAATACAAAAGTAAAAACAAAAGCAAAATAAACTGAGCTAATTTTGAAAAACAGTCTTTAGGTGCCTGTGTGTACCTGAAGTAAAGCAGAAGAAAACTAAGAATTAGCTACCAGCCCAATAATCTCCTTCCTCAAAGGCACCCTCATTGGTAAAAGTGTCTATCCCAGATAAAGTCTTTTTTAAAATTGACCAAGGCTTTATATTTTAATACTTAATTACACAATATTAAAATATATTAATTACTTTTCAAGGTAATTTATTACATTTTGCAAATCATAATGTTGATCTTCATTGTAATATTGCAGACAACTATTTTTAAATAAGTGCATTGCTTTGCATTTTTGATACAGATTAAACTTACATTGATAAAAAGAAGAATCGTCAGATGCCATCACAATGTGCATCTGAAGGATAAGCTGGGGTGTGCTTTCCAAGAAGGCTTTAAATACCTGAAGCATACTTATATCAGCCATTGCATTGATGCATAAGTTGTTGGTGGTGGAACTGTTTGATATAAATACAGCCTCATATCCAAACTTTAATGTGAAATAGTATCTATAATGAGAGAAAAAAAATCTCTCTTTAAAGTAGAAAGCTAAATAGATAGAGAATTAGACATAGATCAATCTTCCAGGTTTATTTATTTATTTTACTAAAAAGCAGCCATGGAAGTGAGACTTTTAAGAAGGCCACTCCTAGCAGAAAAAGCTCCTAAATCTTTTCCTTCCAGTTGTTTTTCTATACAGTCTTTCACAACTTGAAGTTTTTATATCCGTTAGGGAAGAAAATATCCACCCACAATCTCTCCTTTCCTTGAAATACAAAACTGCCCATACCTGCTTTTCTGTCCTTCTGTCTTTCTGTCCTTCAATCTTTCTATTTCTCTTCCCTTTAACCATTAGAACTTGCATCCTTTCAGCTACTAGAAATCTTTTAATTTTTGTGTTTTGTTATCTATTTGTTGTAAGCCACACAGTTATTTTATATAACAATATAGGCTGCCATACACATCTTTCAAATGAAATAAATAAAATCTTAACACAGATGTTTCTCTTATTACAGCAATCCCAGGAATGGCCAGATGGCCATTTCACCACTCTTTCTCCCTGCCCCATCCCAAACATTTTATTAAAAGGAAGATGAATTAGCTGATATTTGCTTGATGCGAAGAGTTGAATTACAAATACTGCCTTTATTGCTATAAATCACCAATAGATGGCAGTACTGAGGTGCTAGAACAGGGCTTTTCAATCTTTTCACCCATTGTACCACTTTTAGGATATGGCAACATCTGAGTACCACCAGTCGCCTAGCAAGGTGTCAAAAACTTGTGCTACCACCAGTTCAGCTCATTCTCCTCCCCCGCTACCACTTTTCTAGGATGGTCGCGTACCACCTGCCAGGTGTTAATGTACCACAGGTGGTACCCGTACCACTGGTTGAAAAGCCCTGTGCTAGAAGATCAGACATGTTTTTAGGATCTTTTCTTCCACCTCATAAAGTAGGAACTTGGTTTTTTTTTAAAAAAAAACAACAACTCCTGTGTTGCTGTTGTTTGTGAAATGACAACCTGCAGGAAGTATTTAACAGTCTGCTTTAAACAATGCTCTGTGGTTGCATTTTTGACTTCTGAAGGAGTCCTTCCAATTGAGCCCATCCATCCATCCACATATATACTTTCACACTTCTTGCATCACAAGGCTTGAGATTCAATTTTTTGTTTTTACAATCCAGCTGCTAAAGGCATATTGTCCCTTTTTTCCCCCGTTGGGATATACACAGGAATGATATAATTCCTCTTGCATACAGAAGGGCCTTCATTTATTGTGATATACTATATATACACCAGTTCTGGTTATTCCATCTCTAAGTTAGATGAAAATTGTGTTCCATTTCTATTTGCAATGTACACTAGAAAGGTTGGTGTTCCAAAAAAACAAAAATATGCAATCACACTGTGAAACACATGGCTGTTGATTGCAGAATATTATGGTTAATAATAATAATAATAATAATAATAATAATAATAATAATAATAATAATAATAATAATTTTTCAACCTTCCCTGGAACCTCCAGTAGTTCAGGTTGGGGGACGAGTCCGTCCATTGGGATATGGTAAAGCCTGTTTACCGACAGGTCAAAGAAGAATTTTTGAAGGTCACAACCTCGTAAGTGGCGAAGACCTCCGTCCAACAAGGTGACCAATTAACAAGATTGACAGTCCTTCAAAGAGGAATCAAGATCTAACGTTCTCTCTTTGGTTAGTTTCCATCCATTGCTTCTTGTCCTGCCTTCAGGCGCTTTGGAAAATAGCTTGACTCCCTCTTCTTTGTGGCAGGCCCTGAGATATTGGAACACTGCTATCATGTCCCCCCTTGTCCTTCTCTTCGTTAAACTAGATATACCCAATTCCAGCAACTGTTCCTTATATGTTTTACTCTCCAGTCCCCTGATCATCTTTGTTGCTCTTCTCTGTACTCTTTCTAGAGTCTCAGCATTTTGTTTACATCGTGGTGACCAAAACTGGATGCAATATTCCAAGTGTGGCCTTACCAAGGCATTGTAAATTGATATTAATACTTCACGTGATCTTGATTTTATCCCTCTGTTAATGCAGCCTAGCACTGTGTTGGCTTTTTTGGCAGCTGCAGCACACTGCTGGCTCATATTTAAATGATTGTCCACTGGGACTCCGAGATCCCTCTCAGTTACTACTATTGAGCAAGGTACCTGTACATTTGGTTTTTCTTACCTAAATGTAGAACCTTACTTTTTTCACCACTGAATTTCATTTTGTTAGATAGCGCCAGTGTTCAAGTCTGTCCAGATCCTCCTGTATCTTAAGCCTGTCTTCTGGAGTTAAATGACTTTAATAGTCTGTTATTAGGTGGAATGCCTCCTTTTCTCATTTGTGCTAGATGTTTGTCTGATTGCCAATAGAGAAACCATAGATCTAAGTCTGATCCCTACATCAGACTCTGCTGATGTACTAGTATATCAAGAGCTCCCAGGTATAATGCAGGCAGCTGGATTTATTTTGATTAGGCATCCTTCCAAGAAGAAAGCTTTTGCATCATAGGTAGAAACAGCAGAGAAACCAACTAATACATAAAGTAGGAATGATAGCACTAAATCAGCATAGGGGCCTTTCTTCCATTCACATATTTAAAAAATATATGATTCCCAGCAATGGCCAGCTTTTCATTGTTTTACTCAGTCTTAAAACAGCTGCACTATTGAGTTAAATGCCTTTCATCATATGGAAAAATAGACTGTAGTATCTCTTTGCAGCTGCCAGAGTGTTGACTGTATGTTTTATGACATTTCAACGATTGGCTTTAATTAACAATGTTCAGAAATACAGATCTTACTCTCTCTGAACATTTCTAGAGTGGAGAGGTAGAACAGCATGGTAATAGCAGATAAATAGAGATAAAGACAGTTTATCTGAAATGCTATATTGCACCAGATGAAAGTGCCATTTTCTTCCACTATAGAAACAATGTTCCTTCAACAGAAAATATTACTAAAAAGCAAGAATACAGCTGTGAAATAACATCCCAGAACTGATTCCTGTGCTTTGAGAATGCCTCCTGTGCAGACAGAAACAATAGGTAAGTCTACCTTCTGTCAAAATATCACTGCTTTCATGTTATATGGATATGTATTTATCCTGCAGAATAACCCCGCAGGATTTTTTTTCTCATAAAACAATCAAAAACATTAACCATCTGGCTCTAGCATCTAACCATTGTGAAATCCAGAAAAAATAAGTCAAGTAAATGAGGCTGTTATATCATTCATTCATATGAGCTTGTTATTTTCCAAGCTGTGTTGTAGTCAGACTGACTACAGAAATACTGATAAATTTACAACTTAGAAATTAGTTTTGGACTTTGCCTTACGCTGAATCTCATAAAGTCAGGGCTTTTTTTCAGCCNGAACGCGGCGGAACCGCGTTCCGGCACCTTTTTCCGGGCCGGCCGCACCGGAAATAGCCCCTCCCACACCGGAAATAGCCCCTCCCAAATTTTACTTGCATTCCTGTTCTCTAAAGGGGCGGTCCTAGGGTTTGATGAGGGCGTGGCCAGGTTTGAGTTCCGCCACCTTTTCTCCGAGAAAAAAAGCCCTGCATAAAGTAATGTATTTATTGTACCCTGATGCTGGGAAAGATTGAGGGCAATAGAAGAAAGGGATGACAGAGAATGAGATGGCTGGATGGAGTCACTGAAGCAGTAGGCGTGAGCTTAAATGGACTCCAGAAGATGGTAGAGGACAGGAAGACCTGGAGGAACGTTGTTCATGGGGTCACGATGGGTCGGACACGACTTCGCAACTAACAACAAAGGGAGATGAGTTACATTTGATTCTACTTCCTGAAAGCTAGATAAATATAAATTGTCTTATAGATATTGTATTAATAGTTACATGGATTTTAATTTTAATTTTAAACCTTTACAATTTTTATCAACTAACAGAATAGGTGAACTCTAACAACAATAATGTAAGCACTGGATGAATAAAAAAACAAAATAAAAGAAGTGAAAGAAACATGTGATTTTATGGTCTTTCAGATGCTGCTGACATACAAATTTCTGGTACTGTACATCTAATATCCTCTACTTGTATATTAGTGCAACAAACACCTTTGTCTTCTACTGTAACCTGTTTTATTGGCCCTTTGGTGGTTTTCTGCAAAGCAACCAGCTGAAAACAGATTGGCTCTGCCTCCACACTTTGTGAAAGCAAGCATATCATCTTCATTTTGATCCCAAGGCAGATCATTGCCTTGGATGTCAAAATGAAGTACCAAGTGTATTGTGGCTCCTTTACCCAAACCTATTATGAACTCAATGAAGCAATTATTTACAAAAACCTGGTTCATACAGGTAGGAATAATAATTTAAAATGTGCGAAAAATTCAACAAGTAGTCACATTATGTGTTAACATCACCACTATCTATAAAAATTCACTTAATGCCCTTATACATATCATATGTCTGTTCTAGGTTAAAATTTGGCACTTACCTTGTAAAAATCCCACCACATAAAAAATGGAATAGATAAAACTTCCAATTAAGCTTTTCAGTCTCATCTTCTTTAAACCAGGTACAACTGAAAAACTGAATAATTATTGATGAAAACAGTCCTGTGGACAGTATTAGGATGCCCTTCAAGTATTGGCCTTCACACAAAAAGTTCTTTGCCGTCCAGAGATCTGTTCCAACATCAAATATATAAACCACAAGCCCAAAAATAATAAGAACAAAATCTACTTTAGTAAATCTTTTTTGTTGTTTTTCGCGACTGACCACTTCCATTGCAGATAAAACAATTCAAAATGTTTTTCTTAGTAGAATGAAACATGTTGGTCAAAACAGCAGGTTAAACTAAAAAGTCGGGATCATAAGTATATTATAAAGTAACAGTATGTAGTTTAAAAGATGCTGGTAAGGTTAATTCTTCCTTATGAGTCCTGCAAAGAATAAGTAATTAGTAACTATTCAGAGGTTTATAAAAAACAATTATCAATTTCAATAGCTATAAAAGAGCAACTTGTGGAATGAAAGTTTATGATAATGTATAATAATGTGCATGTTTTAACTGAGCTCAAGAAGATATTTCCTCAGAAGGAATACACTAACCGAGTAGATGAAAAAAGAAAAATTGGAGACTTTTTTGAGTCCTGGTGGAAATCTTTTTTTCTACTTCCCATAATTCCCTAAGGCAGTGGTGGCGAACCTATGGCATGCGTGCCAGAGGCGGCACTCGGAGCCCTCTCTGTAGGCACGCGTGCCATGCTCCGGAGATGGCAACCGTCCTCTTCAACCAGCCACCCGCTAACTTACTGAGGTCCCACGTGGCCGGATGCATCCCAGCACCCATGTGCTTGCTGACCTTTGTGTGCGGAGGCCGATGGTGTCAGGCAGCAGCTGCCCCTGCCTCACCTTGCCCTGCGGCATGGCACCCCTACCCTGCCTCGCCTCACCCCGCAGAACCAGCCTCCTGCCCACTGCCCCACCCACCAGAGATCCCTGGATCTCCCCCAACCTGCCAGGCCCCCACAGGCGTCCCTCCCCAGGAGCAACACCGAGCTGGCATGCCCACCCTGGCCACGCCTACCCATCTGCCATGAACACTGTAGTCATGCCCACCCGGGGGGCCACACCCACCCGGAGGCCATGCCCACCCGGCACCCGGCAATACATAAGTGGGGTTTGGGTTGACGTTTGGGCACTCAGTCTCTAAAAGGTTCGCCATCACTGCCCTAAGGCAGTGGAAAGTCCCAGAAATACTTTTTTGCAACATTATGTTCTTACAATATTGCCTACTTCTTTCTACTATCTGCCTAACCCTTTCCTTAGAGGGTTGGGCTATTTCAATGTTCTAATGCCTGCCTGACATTATTTAACTTGAGTGCTAACAATTGCATAAAAATATATGCTCTAATAAATCTATTTAATTGTTAAGTACTATAAAACCAATTGATTTTACTGCAATTGCCACGCAGAAGAGATTTGATTTGGTATAATGCTTAAGGCATGAAGTTGAAAACTGAGAGACTGTGAAACAGGAAGTCAACTTGATAAACTTAGTGCAGTCACTTTCTCCCAGCCTTGGCAAGAAGACAAATCATTTCTGAAAATCTTGCCAATGTAATCCAGACAGTTGCCTGAAGTCAGAACTGGTCTGAAGCAAAATACAGAAAGGAATTGGATAAATCTCTGCCTTCTTGACTTAAACATTCTTTGAAAAGAGATGGTCACTTCTGTCTTTCCAGACTTTAATCTGCTAGGTAAATTGACTCTATGGTATTCTAAATCAAACAATTAAAAGCTCCTTGCAAGGGTTCTCAGGCTACTATGTTGCTTATTGAGTAATTATAGTTAATATTGAGTAAAATATAAGAAATTTCCAGTTTGAAGGTAAATTATTATATGCTATTTCTAAACATGCATGTCATTCCAGAAATGTTGAAAGTGAAATCAATGCTTGGAGAAAAGAATCCAAGAGAAAAAAAATCTTTGTGGATATTTACACTTCCATTGAAAATTATGTAATTCTGTGGTTAACATTGAAAACCAATATAAAGATTCCACAGAGAAAAATAAAAATTCATCAGGGATCAAGCAAATATACATTGTTGGCCTGATAATACAACCACAGACAAATATTCTGGATAAATGTAATTTTCCTTTTGATCAATTAATAATTTTTTTGATCATTTTTTTTCATCTGACTTATACCCAGTGAAGTCAGTTTTTTAGGCCTCCTAATAGTATAAATTGTTTTCTATAATGTTACAGAATAAACTGTTTAGATACCACCAAGGTAGTTAATTAATCTCAACAATATTTTAATAAAAAAAAATTACCTTAAAACTTGCCAGGTAGATATACATTTTCAGTAGAAAACTCTATATCCTCAATAGAAAGAAACTATTAATGTTTTGCATAGTTGGACTTTGTAGTCTACACCCAGAAGAGGTTTGGGTGTGGGCAAAATATAAAGTGAAACTGCTTTTATCCACAAGCCATGTGATCCTTTAGACGAGATGGGTGACAAACAAATCTAAATAAATAATCATCTGGTATTTGCATACAGTGGCTAAGGCTTCAGCCTAGAAACCGGGAGATTGTGAGTTTTAGTCCCACCTTGGACACAAAGCCAGCTGACTCTGCACCAGTCACTCTTTCTCTCTCTCATATCTAGCAAGGAAGTAATGGCAAACAACTTCTGAAAACTGCAGGAACTAGTCCAGGCAGTTGCCAAGAGTCAACACCGACTCAAAGGCACCCAAAGAAAAATTGGACAATCATTCCTTTAGTTGAATTATTATGTTCATAAATCATTTAATCTGATTCCATCTGTGATAACGTAATAACAGAATAACAGAGTTGGAAGGGACCTTGGAGGGTTAGAGTCACTATATCATTTCAGACAAATGGTTGTCAATCTCATCTTAAAAATCTCATGTTGGAGCATTCACAGCTTCTGGAAGCAGATTGTTCCACTGATTAATTGTTCTCACTGTCAGGAAATTTGTCCTTAATTCTCCGTTGGTTGTCTCATTGATTAGTTTCATTCATTGCTTGTTGTCCTGCCTTCAAGTGCTTTGGAGAATAGGTTGACTCTCTCTTTTTTTGTGGCAGCCCCTGAGATATTGGAAAACTGTTATCATGTCACCCCTAGTCCTTCTTTTTATTAATATACCCAATTCCTGCAACCATTCTTCATATGTTTTATCCTCCAGTCCTCCAGAACCTTTGTTGTTCTTCTCTGAACTCTTTTTGAGTCTCAGCATTTTTTTTATATCATGAAAATTAAATTAAGCCTTTTTTACTTTTTTCTGCAAACTAGGTTTGTTTTAATGGCAGTGGTATTCTAGTTGAACTATTCAAGGTAGGCATTGTAACTGTCCTATAAACTGGCAACACTCAATTCCACAGGCACTACCCACATGTAGTTGGGTTATGAAATTACCTGATACTTAAATTAATCTGATCTGTGACACTGGAAATATGAAGCTAACCATATATTTAAATCCTCCAAATTGCTGCTGATGGTGCAATAATTTTACCTTGAGCTCTGTTTTTGTTTGGATTGTACTTCGATGATGGAACAGCCTTTATTCTTCTCATGGCCTCTAATTCCCTAAAATGTGCCCTCTCTGCTCCATGAAGGAACTCAGCTGTGCTTTAGCTGCAATTTTTAGAACACTAATTAGATCCCCAAGGCTTGCAAGTGTCCAACAAAATCTCCACTTAGAAGCTAAACCAAACATTAGTCCCTCGTAACTAACTCTACATATGTCTAATGCCCTGAGAAGGAAGTAACATGAAGAGAAAAATGGACAGAAAGTGAGAGCTAATCAATCTTTCTTGTAAAATTCTTTTTTTCATTAAATTATGTGTTTTATTCAGGATCCCATCTGACTCAAAAAAATCTGAAGAGATGTTTTGGACAAAGAGGCTTAGGATTCTGCAAATATATAGAGAGAATATTCTTTCTCTTCTAGCCTACTGCTGGATTAATTGCACTTTTTGGGGTCTATTAATCTCTTGGATAATAAAAAGGAGAATTTTAAACTGGTAAGATAAAGTTAGGATGGAACTGGAGTTCTGGAATACAGGAAGCAATAAAGATATTAGATAGAATTGCTCCTGAGATTTCTGTCCTTATCTGATAATGAAGGAAGGTTCCTTCATTGGTATAGTGAAGAGTTGCAAATGATAAAATCTTTGGAGCATCACTGGAAGGATATAATCAGACATGGATCTGAACTCAGGTCTAATAAGGACTTTTTGTCCTTCTTCCATTAATGAAATGCCAGGCAGTAGGACTATTCAGAATTATCAGGAAAGTATGGAACAAAGATGATTAGGGGACTGGAGGCTAAAACATATAAGGAACGGTTGCTGGAATTGGGTATGTCTAGTTTAATGAAGAGAAGGACGAAGGGGGACATGATAGCAGTCTTCCAATATCTCAGGGGCTGCCACAAAGAAGAGGGAGTCAAGCTATTTTCCAAAGCGCCGGAAGGCAGGACAAGAAGCAATGGATGGAAACTAATCAAGGAGAGAAGCAACCTAGAATTAAGGAGAAACTTCCTGACAGTTAGAACAATTAACCAGTGGAACAACCTGCCTCCAGAAGCGGTGAATGCTCCAACACTGGAAGTCTTTAAGAAGAGACTGGACAGCCATTTGTCCAAAATGGTATAGGGTTTCCTGCCTGAGCAGGAGGTTGGACTTGATGACCTCCAAGGTCCCTTCCAACTTTATTATTATTATTATTATTATTATTGTTATTGTTATTGTTATTGTTATTGTTATACTCTAATTTCTTTATGATCAGCACGCCAGTCATTTCATGGATAAAATCATACCTATAATTCCAAACTGAAAGCCAGATAATCAAAATCCAATAGATTGGGAGGAGTGGCACCTTGGAATGTTTTGTAGAAGTGTCTATAAGTCTATGCATACCAAGAAAGATCCTTTGTGATGCAGCCTGGCCACCTGGAAGGTTCATCTGTGTCCAATTAGTCTGGCTAAGATACCATGTAATGGTATCAGCAGGTAATGCTGATCAAGTAGTGATCAGTAATTTCTTGCAGAAGCAGGAGTTAACAACTACCTTGAAAGACACTCTGGCTTCCGTCCTCCTTTGAAGTCAGTCCAGGAATCTTAGTTATATATTGTTATATATTGCATCTCCTCTATGCAAGTATGTGATTGAAAAGGTGATGAGAAAACATTTAAATAGGTCTAAGGAAGAAGCAGATTATCTAGAATAGAGAAGCAGACTATCTAGAGCA